TATTTAATAGAATATCAGCAATGTAAACCTGTATCTACCAACATGCCCTCGTTTGAAAGAGACAAGGTCGATAGCTTACCGTTCATTGGAAACGAAGTAGCGGTCTGTAATGAAAGGAAAACCACTCTTTTTGCCAGAAAAGGTCAGCTGTCTTATGATAAAGAATAAGCATTTGGTAGTCAATTCGAATTATAACAAATGTTTCTAATTCTTCTTAATATCATTATATTGTAAGGTTTAAATTCACTGATCGAGAAGAAGTAAACAACATGAGTTGTGGATTTCCAAACAGCTTTATTTCCACTGTCTTAGTTCTTAATGTTACTGCCAGAGCAGTGTTTTATAGATAAATCTTATTTCTTTACTTTGGACGCGCTACTCACTTGTTTGTCGCATCGGTGTTGAGTAACAATTGTTTTTAGCGCGCTTATGATAATGATGGGATAGAATGTGATTCCACGAGGAATGAGATCGGCTGATATTAGATGCTGAGACAGCCGTAATTACAAGTGTTCTTGTAACAGGAATCTGGCCCATAAGGTTAGCAATTAATTTTTTAAGTTATGAAAGTTCATTTAAAGATAATTGCGAGAAGATAAAATTAGTTTTCCATTGTAAACTGTAACTTTTAGTAGCGTTAGAAATGCCGGTCTGATGTACAATGCACAGTACATGTAACACAATCACTGTGCCTTTCAGTATTGGAGTAAAGAAAGTTCAGTAAAGTGTAGTGTATTGTTTAGAAACGAGAATGTAGCTGTACTAGTTGCGAGTTAAAGATTGTTTGTTTTATGTTCGTAATCAATGTTATTTTTAAAAGCGTATTTTTTCATTGTGTTAGTTGCGCCAGATGAGATCTACTACACAATCATTTAGAACCTAGTCGCTTGCATTACACTAGAATAGCCCAAAGTCGGTAAGAGTTACTTATATTTTGGAGATAAAGATAGGATAACATGCAACTGTTAAGTAAAGATGTTATTTAAGCGACTTAATAGCATTATATAAAAGAACTAGGGCAAGAATATGAGATGATTTTCTTATTTTATTTCAATTATTTTTTCAGTTGACGGTTTAATAAATCAGTAAAAACGACGCAAAGCTGTTGTTGTTGTGTGTGAGTATTGCAAGTGGCTACACTTAAGCCCTAAGTCATAAGTCGAAAGAGTGTATAATTTACACACCACCTGTTCTATATATCCAGATCTACTTAACATGTCTTATTGAAATAATATTACCTATAAAGTTAAGATATTAACTAGTCTCTCGAGACAAGTGTCACGAGAGGGGGGGCGACATCTTAGGGTGCGTGGGACATGCTTAGGGGCACCGTTCATTACAATATCAATAACATGTAAGCCCAGCAACCCACAGATATTGGTATAACATTTATACTTAAGGCTCTCCGCCCCCCTGAGACGAGAATTACCGGCACATGTTTTAAACTGATGAAATTGCAAATGTCAAGCCATGCACTTAATAGAATGGTAATATCTGATCTCATCATACGTTCTATTTCATTTGCACATGGGGTATAGGCTACTGCTTTTATAATGATGATGTTTACTGAAAACGAAATTACACAATTGGTACATTTGCTGGCTCTTTAAGCTACGTTAGACATGTCATGAAGATAACAATAATGTCTCTGTTTCAAAAGATTTACTGTTTGAAAATCACAACGAAAATTAAATTAAAATTAAAGTATATTTATAAGGATATGTTCTCATTATAAATTGAGAATAATATTTTGTAATACGTTAAGCTCTGCTAGGGTTTAATCACTTCATTGGTTTGCACTTTTCAGGAACTAAATATGTTATTATGACAAGCCATGAAAACTTTGCTTTGGAAAGTTTACACTGGCAATTGTCTCTGTCGCATAGCCGTGGTTTGTTTTTACAGCCATTCTGAATTACAATTCTTCAATGTAACTATATCAGGATTTAATAACTTTAAGGCAAAGTTTAACTTTAACCTGGAAGTGATGCTTCAATACGCACATAAAAACTTAAAGTTTGGTTAAATAGTCGAAACCAAACTTGAAACAGTGTTGGATAAAAACAGACATTTGGTTTAGTTGTTTAGACTCACTCTTCATATAACTAGTTAAAAGATTAAAACAAGTGAATTACACTTATTAACGTTAGATTTCTCACCAAGTGTTATAGCGTCGACGTACGACGCCAAGTTGAAGCTTCCAAACGTGTACTGATTAACTTGCTTTTTATACAAAAGAGCATTAAACCTTATATCTCCATACGGATCACCTGTTTTTCGTAACATCCTCTTTTGCGTGATCATATGAATTCTGATTTATAATTTGTCAATAACACAATGAATATATTCTTATAGCCAATATCTGTGAGCCTTGTTTTAGGTTAAATACTGTATCTAGAATATTATATCCATTACAAGTCATACTTGGATAGTTCCCAAAATCCTGTCTGCAGTTGTCACATGTATACAGGGGATAGAAAATAACATTTTGATTAAGAAATTATCCAATCAAATAAAACTTTAAGTGACTTTGACATTTTTCGCTATAATTAGTTTCTTAAAATTTTGTTTGGTTGCTTTGAGAAACAAATGGCATTTTGCCAAAAATGTTCAAAAAATTATGCCAAACACTAAACACTAAAGGGACGTCCATTGACACATTTCTAGTGGATGGTTGGGCTGAAATAGGGTTATCAGCCAAGATCGAGGGCCTTTCATATGCAAGGGTGTTTATTTCTATTGGTCATCTTGGATATTTATAGTTGCCCAAGGTTGCCAAAGTGCTAACCATGCAATCTTAATTAGTTTAGGACCCCATGGAAACCCGAATCAAGAAAAAAACTTCAAAGGAACAAAAATTTCTAGGGTCCAAAATTTTCGCTTCGACTATAATGCTACATTTTGAGCTCAATAAAAATGCCCCTATGGAGCCATTGACATTTTTTTCATATAACTCGAAAGCTATCTACCCGGTATACCTATTGGGAGCCCTCGTCCAACAGTTTAGGCATGAATTAACACCAATACAGTGCATGTTGATCGTGATCAAAATGAATGTATGATTAGAGAATGTGACATACTGTTCTAAGCTTCTCTTGCCCGATTACAGCTTTAATCACTTAATGTTATGGACATGACAGCCACATGTTGCGTGTGGACGAGATTGCACCTACAGATCGCTCATTTTGACTTATAAGAATTCATCGCAATAATGGGCACGAGGAAACGAAAATTGTAGAATATACTTAGTCCATAGCTAAAGCCTCAGGTGGTAAAAATGACTAAGATTATTAGACAGACCAGAGCTCCATAAATCACGTGAAATTCACCTATACCTGTATCTTAAAGGTGGGACAACAGTGTTGCCTGAAAATGCCTTGAAAGGCATTGATTGCAGTCAGGATCGCAGGCTGCCGGAGGGGGGGAGAGGGAGGTAAGGGTTTTCCCCCTTTAGAGATATTTGAAAAATAATTTTTTCGGTATCTTCAAACCTTTTCCCAATTCCTTAATCCCAGTCAGCTACATGTTTGCATGTATTGCAGTCATCCAATAGCCCCCTTCCCCAAAACCCATTGCCTGATGTTGATCTGAGTTCTCAGAATTAGAAATGCGGTTTGTCTGGGTTGACAGAGTCGCAGAATCACTATAAACAGGGAAGCAAGAACATATAACACCATGTTAACACCATGTTAACACCAAGACAATTATTTTGGGGGTATTCAGTCGCTGTGCACGTTTTTTTTAAATGTGTAGTAGAGATCCCCAGGCTCTATATCTCNGGGGGGGGGGGGGGGGGTCGGGAGGGAGGTAAGGGTTTTCCCCCTTTAGAGATATTTGAAAAATAATTTTTTGGGTATCTTCAAACCTTTTCCCAATTCCTTAATCCCAGTCAGCTACATGTTTGCATGTATTGCAGTCATCCAATAGCCCCCTTCCCCAAAACCCATTGCCTGATGTTGATCTGAGTTCTCAGAATTAGAAATGCGGTTTGTCTGGGTTGACAGAGTCGCAGAATCACTATAAACAGGGAAGCAAGAACATATAACACCATGTTTTGCAAATATCTTATTGGAAGATTAAGACAGTACTTATCTCAAAGTATTGCCAAATAGCACAAAAATAGCACAGAATTTTGTTACATTATTACATTAAAACTGACTTTGAACTTGTTTATACAGTTTCTGAAAATTCCATTGGGCCACTATTATACATGTAAACGGTAACGGACGATGGATGTTTCTCATGTCATCGGGAAGTCACGGGAATGATCGCGTGCTCTCGTGGTTCCAAGTAAATAAACTTTTGCGCACAAATAGGATGTATTTCAATTATGCGACGTTTTGTTGCTTTATCATCTAAAAGCCTGATTCATGAAAAATTATTTGCTTTTAGTCGAAAGTCATTTAATCATAAAGAGGTTGACACGGGGGGGNCCATCCATTCAAATAGACGCCAAGAACAGCAGTCACTTGGTCAAGTATGATTCGCATGCGAAAGCAGAATTCGGGAATATAAAAGTTCTGACCCTAAATATAAAAAGAAATTCATAATATGATATACTGAAAAGAAAGATATTTTTTTGTCAATTTCTGATTTTCTTTACTATCGTACTGAATGCATATTTTAATAAAAGATGTTGTTTTCAACGGCTTGTTTGCAGACGCAGACGCAATGGGAGTGTACAAAGTGACCAGAAAAGTAAAAAAAAATCATCATATTATTATCAAAATAAAAAGAGCCACACTGTTGAACAATAAACAGGCTATCGATGCAATTGGACATATATATTCTCTGTGGCTTTCTCGATGAGAAAGAATGGCGTTTTTATAAATATCTTTGTTCACTGACGCCGCGGCTGCGGTACCTTCTCTGGCAAAATAGTTTGCACCATTACGTGAGTTTAAGTTATGGGAAAGTGAATATGAATTGAATATCTGAAAAATTCGTTTGGATACAAAATGACAGAAACATGCATGATCTAACATCATTTACTTGTCTCTCCTTCAGCTTTTCTTTGACAAAAATAGCAGATTAATTCTATTGAGCACTGCTTAGCCACAACAAAGCAATGCACATTTGAAGCCGACAGGACGAATTTTCATCTCAGTTGTCTTCAGGGAGCGTTGGTGACCTTTAAATGTATACCATATCACGCCATTACCGTAATTGGTGAGGTGGTACAGGCCGTTCAGATTGGAAAGGTGGCAGTTATAATACCACCAAGCACCTTTGTATAGTTTTGCGCAGTTAGCATTCCCACCATGAGAATCGTTATCTCTGTCTTTTGTGGTGAAGGCATAGCCCCTGTGAACACCCAAGGAATCCCCTATAACATGAAATAAGAGATAAATTACAGAATCATATCAATAAGTTGAGGGCAAAGTGCTGTATTGCTAATGATCTTCTCATACCAAAAAATATGAAACATTCGCACAGTGTACACTAGATTATAATAACCCAGTGGATATGTTAAAAGTAAGTTTAATTTCTGTGACACACCGAGAAAACTTTTGCATGCAAGTGTAGACGGTAAACACCTGTGGGCACCTGTTAAGAACTTACTAGCATGTACCCCCCCCTTCAGTCACCGCTTCAGTGCAGATGCCAAGTGCATACCTGCGTTTCCAGAGTAATTTCCGAGAACCAACTTGTACTTCTGTGCCTCTGACGCGATCGCAAAGTTGTCGTAAATGGCGTACCGGCGATTACCATCGGCGTCTTCCATATCCACACGTAGCTCGTACCGCCTCTGCTTTGTGATGGTGTAAATCCTTTCATTCCCTGTGAAAAAAGTGGGACATGCTTTTTTTGAAATGTCTTAGTTGGGTCTCTTATTTATTTATTTACCAGTAGGACGAAAAACACATTTCCTTAAAAAGACATTAATTTTAGGTTTTTAATATCCCTGTTACATGAAGAAAATCAGGAACAGAATCTACGTTCTTTTACCTAACCAATGTTCCCCATTCAGATTTCCAAATCCATCCTTGTAAGATTGCCAGTCAAGGTAGAAATCTTCGGAACCGTTCACACGCTTCTGGAACAACTAAGAGATACAAAATTTAGTTAGTAACCATCCCCAAATTACGATAAACTAAATTAAGGACTAATACCACTAAACAGCAAATATGAAAACCCATCAATATATTTTGTAAATATGAGTGTCATTTGGCTGAGTGTTTATGAGGCCATCACAATCAGTTAAGTGCATATCACGAACAAAAATGAAATTTGATAGAGAACAGAGAATCATATTAAACCTCATTTAAATATGTTTTTTGAAAAGACAAAAGCTATTAAAACATTACTGTCCATCCTCCTCCGTCAGTGGTCATATCACAGTAGACTTTAAAAGCGCTCGGACTGTTATCGGGTGTTATGTTGTACACACCGTCCATCTTCACACCGTTCTTGAACAAATCAGCGCAGTCTCGATCGCTTGCTGAAATGACAAGTGGTGCTTTCCAATATATTCGAATTATAACTATAATTTGTGCTTGTGTTTAGTCGAGTACGTTTCCTATCGTTGTGAACAGATACATTTGTGAAAGAGAGAATTTCTGTTTTTAGTTTTGATCTTATTGATGAAAAAAAAACTGATTATTTCTACAGTTGTACAGTATATACTAAACTGTACTCAATGGTGGCTCAAAGATGCAACTTAGCAACTTGATGAAGTGCCTTGGTGAATTTACCTTGACAAGCTTTCGTCTTCTGTTGTAGCTTAGAATAGTTCGCTGCTAGTTCATCGAACCTGTCTTCCAAACTTTTCAGTTCATCATATATGTTTTTCATCTGTTTCAGTTGATCATAGCCGCTGAAATTTTCATTGTCCAGTTTTAAATCTTTCAGGTCGTTTTTCGGGATGTCCTGCAGGGTTACAGAACGCTGGGACTCAGATGCGGCATCTCTACGTTGAACACTGCAAGGAAAAAATAATTTTAAATAATGACCTGTATTTTTATACAATGCCACAGTAAGGAAGTTTCTTCTAAACTTTTTTTTTCAAATAATTTTGTTCGTTTTGGCTCAATAGCGCGCTGAAAATATTCGATATACATGGAATAATTTTAAGAGGAACTAGTTAAAAGACCCTCAAAATAACACTACAAAAGTATGAGTGTGCCAAGGCATCGCATGTAAAACTAAAAGTTTAGGACTTAATTATGGATTCTTGTAAAGCCTCGATTACATTTGCCATGTAGTGTCCATTAATTGCATTAAATCCCCTTTCGCGCAGCGTCTGTGTGGGGGCGGGCAGTGACCGTATGAAATCGTGAGGATTCCCGGCCTCCGAAAACAATGATTTTATCACACTTTTTTTAAAAACTGAACTTTTTAAATAAATGTTTTAAAAATCGTATGCCCGTAGGCCGCAGTAATATCGTAGGAGGCTCTGCACAGTTACCGCACTGGCATGGTGATAATTTTTGAGCCTGTTTTTGATCTCTTTCCCTTCCACCTTCGTTGGTTTGAGGAGGGAAAACAAAAGCCCAATGAAGTGGTTATAAGTTCGTACTATTTACTGTGTTTATTGAAATCAAAAGAACAAATGAATGAAATAGTGATGCATTTTCCAGACAATTTTACTTGTAACGACTACATGTTTGACTTAAGGTCATTGGAATTGTGCAAAATAATAAAACGATACTTGAATGATGAAACCCCAATGAAGTATCCACTGCAAAAAGGACTAATTTTCCAGTCTCAATTCATCCAATCAATATCAACTTTCCTCTGTTATATTGGACTGATATGTAAAACATATAACTACATAACAACGCGCAGCTTCGGGGAAATCATCTGATAATTACATGGCAACAATATGTTTGTCATTGTGCATAAATGATAAAAGTTTGTAATTTACTAGTAATAAATGGAGCACCAGTACAATACTTACTCATGAATGCCTTGTGCAGCGGCAATAAGACAAAATAAAATAAAGACGAAGCTCAACTCCATTGCTCTTCACGGCGTAAAATGCAAAAGACGAATGCAACTCAGATCATTGCTGCATTATTTAAGGATAATCAAGTCATGTAGCATATCCGTCATTTTGATTTGACAAGCTTTAATTTAAGAACACGTGTATCAATCAAAATGACAAATACGCATGCGCGACTTTCAGAGAAACAGCTGCGATTCGCTGTGGGAGCGTTATACAAAATAACGCCTCTCAGTATAGAAAAGACGCAGATCAAACTGAGCTGATAACTTCACGTTATTATTAAAGCAGAAAATTCAATACTTATGTAAATGGAGTAGAAGTAGCAACGCCTAAATATTGAAAACAAACATTAATGATACAGTTTAAGCGTGTTTTAGTTCTATTGGTTTTCTTTTTCATTTTTAAAGATGAAAGCACTGCATAAATTATAACATTGACTATAACCATTTCTCCTCCCTGTGGTTCCTATCCGGCTGTACGTGTAAAATAATTTAGGAAACCCTATACTACAGTGGTGCCACGAGTCGGGCTCGGGGAGTAAAGTGCACATGCAGTCTGAGTGGATGTTAAGAACACGTCGACAATGTCACGTTAAGGAATGATGTAAAAAATGATGAAAGCACAAATGAAAATGTCTCTCATTCATTTGGAAATATATGTATAAAACGGTAGGCAAGGTTATCTTTACTTATTGTTTCCTTTTCTACTTATTTTATTTATTTTCTTTTTTGGGGGCGGTGATATGTTTAGCCTTTTTATGATGTTTTTGTGCATTTTTTGTGCCATTAAAATATATATAATAATATAATTAATGTAAATACAAGAATAATATAAATAGTTGACACATTAAATTCATGTATTGTTATAATCAGTCACAAATTCCATTTTACTTATAATGCAAGAAAGCCACCCCCCCCATTCAACTTAAATTGTACATGTATTACTGGCTAGGACCCTCTTCTCATAGATGAAATCCTTATCAACATCACGCGCTACGTTGGTGGTGTGATGTTACCCATCACAGCTCACTGATAGAACGAGAAGATAAATGTATTACTGGCGTAAGTTTACAATAAAAGAATATTTTGCGTTGTTAAAATCTTAGGCCATTTAATCGAAAAGAAAAGGCATGGACAGGTTTGTGTTAGAACGGTGGGGGAAGTTGTTTTTCCCTCCCTCCTTTTCTGAAATCACCTTTGAAAGTGCTTTGGGGAGGGGAAACATTTTATGAGGCACGAAAAAGAAAATATTGCACCAACGAATGAAGAAAATCAAAGTCTTTTGGTTATGTGATCACGTTAATTCAATTCTTTCTGAGCTTTTTTAATGTAAAAGAAAATTTTTCAGAGAGGCATATTCAGAACATTGAAAACGAAGCTACACTGTACATCCCCTTGACCAAATCACTTTATACATATTACACTATTCATATAGAAATGAGTTTTAAATTAACATCAACATTTTAGTCTTTTTCCCCAGCTCATGTACATACTGCATGCGTTTGGCCGGTGTACACATGTAACAGTAAGGACAGCCATTACTTGGGAATAGTATTCTTACTGGGACTTAGTGTCGTGGCCACCTTTGATCCCATTGTACTCTTTAAAATCATAGGTAAAACCAAACTTATTCTAAGTATAAATCAAACTCCGAGCTCGGGTCGGGTTCTCAAACACGGCTCCCTGTACATCATGGAATTTACCGTTCACGATAAACCATGGTTGAAATCTGGGGTTGCGTGCGCTGAAATACGGCACCCGGATTATCGATGGGACAGCAGATATATACATGTACATCCAATATGGCCCTCTCAGTGACAAGGTTGAAAGTTTCCATCTGATCATCTAATGTCAACGAAGATACCGTGGTTCCGTGGTAACTTTGCTGTTTGGGGTAACGGCAGACACTCGTAGACTGGTTCGAGTCCCAGCAGACTGCAGTGTCCTTTTTTTTGTCAGAATTAATTTTTGAAAATTGCGATTGATTACTATAAGAGGAAACTCGTGCCTAGGGAAGGTGGGCGGTTCAGTCACGGAGCAGTCGGTAGCGTGCATGGATGCAAATGAGCAATCCAAAGCGTCATCAACCATGGTAACGCAAAGTCACGAGTTCGAATCCCGGATGAGGCACGTCACTCCAACACGACAACGACTGGGGCCCCTGAATCGGGATGTCACGAGAACGAATGTGGGCTTTCGTGGGTCTTTGCAAATTATCTTTTGCATAAAAATACGGTATATTTTAAAAAGTTTTCATAAAGAGATCTACTTTGGGCGTGCCTAATTTTTTTCATATTTATTTCATTCATTTCAATTATCGCGAACTAAGTGATAGATACAATACGAGTCGCCGAGCTGTACGTGAAATATTACGAGTGTATTGACGAGCCGCAGTGTTGTAGCTGGCTTAAACCACGGCCTCTGATTGGCTACTACACTAGTAGTGCAGCAGACCGTGGAACGCACTCGTACATGACGAGTTTGTATGTCGAATGAAGCACGGTCAAGTCTTTTGTTCTACGCGCTTTGATGAGAAGAGAAATCCTAGAACTGAACCAATAGGTTATGTATAGAGCGTAAATGGCGTATGTGATAATTTTAACTGACAAGGGTTACTGAAGCACCTGTACTTGCATGTTGATTTACCGGTAGTTGATATTCGACATACTCCGTAACGCAGCCTCAGTTTAAATTGGATAGGTTTTAATTTGATTGTTTATTATTTAGCATCCTTGGCTTATAAAAATTTAACAACATTATTTTTTATAGTTAGGCCTACTTTTGGATGTATGAGAGGAACAGNACCAGATTTATAAAGAGTCAGGTTAATAAGGATGTCAACATGTTTAAACATGACACCTATGTGCATTTGAATGATATATTCCTATGACAACTGGCAGCTATCTTGGGGTTTCTCCGAATAATACTCAAGGATACATACACTTTCAAAACACACAGAGTCTTTCATAAGGATAAATAGGATATGAAAAACATTTAAAAACGACCCAAAGTTAACTACATTTAAATCGTACTCAGTGTATCTCTAGCATTATTTAATTATGTGTTCGAATATTCTAATGACAAAAGGCAGACATCTTGAATTTTTTCAGAATACCCAAAGATACACACATGCTACAGACCAGGTATACATCATAGTGGTAATAATAAATGGAATGAAAAACATAAATTATTTTTAAAACAAACCCATGGAAAAATAACAGTATAATGAACCATATGCCTCATTAGCAGCAATTGAAACCCACCCATTAGTATTCCTATGTTAAATTGTACGTATCTTTTTCTCAGTATATCCAAGGATGCACACTATTTAACCACCAGATATATATCATAGGACTAATAAGGATGGGCAAAACTTGATAAGCAAACACAAATTCACCCTGGTAGTAGATGAAAAGCCATGGATGTGCAGTTGTAATTCCAGAAGTATTCCTATGGCCAGTGACGGCCATCTTGGGTTTTCTCAAAATGATCAAATATGCACATTTATTACCTGCTAGATATGTATCACAGTGTAATAATAATGTGTAAAACAATAAAAAATAAACTGAATTTGATAGTAAATTAGCTGGCGTTAGTTCCAACCCTTTGTAATACTAAAAGTATTCCTATTACATATGACGGCCATCTTGGATTTTCTCAAAATGCCCTAGAATACTGTTAGTTACTCACCACATACATATTGTGTGGGTAGAAAAGATGTGGAAAACACTCAGAAACCAGCTTAATTTGATAGTGAAAAACTACTCTTTCCAGTTGCCATTAGTTGAATCCCCCGTATACTAGAATTCCTGTGGCACATGGCAGCCATCTTGGATTTTCCAAAATGCCCAAGAACACTTCATAGTTACTCACCACAAACATGTTATGTGGGTAACAAAGATCTGAGAAACAGACTTAATTTGATAGTGGACAACGTATCGTTCTAGCTGGTAATAGTTGTGCACTAGTATTCCTATGGCTGTTTCTATGGCAAATGACAGCCATCTTGGATTTTTTCAAAAAGTCCAAAGGAACTTGTTTGCTATCTGACTTATATGAATAAAATGGGTAATAAGGGTGTGGAAAACTCTGAGAAAATAATTTATTTGATAAAAATCAACATAGGTATGTACATATTTCTAAAGAATTCAATATATTGGCGGCCATTTTGGATTTTTTGGCCAAACGGTAAATTTTTTCCGTGGGCCACGGCCCTAATTTGATTTAGAATGTCAAAAGGTACCCACATGCAAAATTTGGTGCTTTTATCCGCCGTGTCACGATTTTTTCCTTAAGCCACCGGACTAGTANTGATATAGACCATAAAAACAATAAAACCCCATAAATGAAAGTTTATCTAGAGTGTATCTATTGTCGTTATCTTCTTTTTAGCCTTGTTTGGTGATCATGAAAGTTTGCAGCGTCTGTATTTTTCACGAAACAGGGTTGCGGTAGCAAAACACCGCGTCATCTTGTACAGTAACAGGGTATGAAGTGAAAACTAGTCTATGGTCAGGGTCATAAATTAAATTTCATTTGCAGGGTGGGTGAGGTATTGCTACGGGGACGTACCGATAGTCCCAAACTATTACACGTCCCTGTACTCCCGTTACCGATAGATACATAAAGGAAACACAGAAAAACGTCTTTTTAGATTTAAATTCCGATAGATCCGGTTTTTTACCACCGACCTATATATTTGTGTTCCTATAGATACAACGTCCACATAAACCCACGTACTTATAAATCCGCATACCTATAGATCCACGTATTTTTAGATCCAAATACCGATAGATCCATTACATACCGTAGGTACACTATTGCCCAAAATGGTTGGTATACTACTAAGTACATGAAATGCACTTTTTTAAAACGACAGTACACATATTAATCCCTTCAGCAATTTATTATTCTACTAGCCCGTTTTTTACGCAATGCTCGGGTAATTTACATTACTAATGCATTATCTGATAGAAATTTATGATTTCACTTGATGTTTTGTTATTTTTATGTTACATTCATTTAGAGTTGATTACGAAGGCTTCTGACAGGAACCTAAGCTTATATTTTCTTTTCAGAGCGATTAATCCCAGAAACACATACACACACACCACCCCCGTCAATTAGG